CTTCGCAGACAGCAAAGAATAAAACTTACAAGCACCAACATAATTTTTCATCATGCTGAAGCAAGCCTAGTTCGAAAACAGGAATTATAAAGCTACCTTTTGGATCTACCAACATTCTTGAAGGTAGGGCGGGTAGTACAACCGTGACCCTGGATGGGGTGCATTCGTCATAAAGTTCTGGTGGAATTGTTCACGCTAACAAATGCGGTTGCTGGGATTTCATATGAATGAGGGACTGGTTAGGTGAGCCCGAAAAATGAATAACAAAAGCAAGTGGCAGGCGAAATTCGAAACCGGAGGACAAGAATACTGCGCAGGAGTATATCGACCATGGTACATGTAGGTGGGTTCGCTGTACTGACTGCAAAAGTTACTTGGAGAAGTATCCAAAACCAAATGTTTAAAGGTAAGCTTTTGAGGAAGAAGATGAAGGTGTGTATGAAAGGAGCGAAACTAAACTGAAGCCGAAATTCACCGCGGACCAGGGAGGATAGGGGATTTTGGACTAGGTATTCGCTTATGTGTAAAAAATCTGTGCGCAAAAGTTAAATGAAGTTACAAACACTTATATAGTCACGGGGAAGGATGATCATGGTGTTACCTGTTGAGTGTTATCATATCGGGGCTGTAAAGACAACATGGTGGTTCAGAGTGAGCCGAACTAGTAGACCTTGTAAACCCAAACTAAGTTGGCATCCGGTGGTTTGAAAAAATCCGGGCATTAAGTGGATTGGTCTTGTTCACCACTCGCTGGAAAACACAACTACCACAATCGCGAATCTAGTTTACTTTGCTGTGGACCTTTCTGTCCAGCAAGTGCATTCGGCAGAAAGCTGTGTTTCTTCTCGTGATGCCCACCTTCCAGATTTGGCCAGAATGCCAAGTTCCTGTTGGTTGACATATCCAGTGGTGAGCGTCAAGTTTGCGTTGTGTGGCCACCCAGCCCCTAAACCCTGCTGGTTGTAATTGGCCATGTCGTTCGTGTTCACGGAGTCTTTTGCATTACCTTCAGACGGAATTTCTTGGACAGTGGCAATTATCAGTCTGCAGTTTGTTGGGTGTTGGATGCATCTGTAAGACTACGTGCGACGTATTCTGGGTTTATTAGTTATGCAGTCTTTGTGATGATGATATATTTCCCACAAAACATAAGTTACGCGAAGACAAACCAGCTTTGACAGTATGAATTGATTATTATGTACAGCAACACGCGATACATTAGACATTGTCAATTGGGACAGGAGATGAGTTCACAGGAAGAGCGCCAACATTCCACAGACGAAAAGGAAAGAAACAGCTATACACCAACAAAACTGTTCTGCAGATTAGTGCAAATTCCGTTCGAGACTGTAAATCATTCAGCCATTGTTTGGACTATCGGATATTCTTGAGGGCTGGACCGGTGGTAAGAGTGCAACTTTGAACTTCATGTATTACTTATGAACCCGTGTTGGAATGGCATACGCTGGCATTTATGATAAGTAGTATCCCCTGTGAATGGGCAAATGATCACCTAAACCTGAATATTGAGCGGCAAAAGCAAGCAGCACGCCAAACTCGAAATAGAGGCACACAAACATTACGCGTACGAGCATCAGTGGCGATACCTGTAGGTGGGTTAATTGTACTGTCTGCAAAATTTACTTGTATCCTAAGTCACCTTTTTATAGGTTAGATGTAACTTCTCAGGGCAGGCAATCGGAATGAGATAGAAGGGGTAGGAAAATTTGGGTGGTGACCCAATCACTAGGCGGAAGAGATGAAGACTGATTAAAGAATGAACTTGAAAAATTAGGATTAAATTCATCGTGAACAAAGAAGGCAGTGACAGCGAGAATTTAGGTGCATTCGGTAAAATCGGAAAACGCCATTGAAAGTTGGATCGAAAGCTTTTAAAATGACAACAAAGGTGGTGCTAGAAATGATACAAATGGCTGTAATGCAACTGATGAGATAAGAAAACAATAACAGAAATAGCAGGCCAGTAGGACGAGGGAGTCCACTTAGAGACTTATGAAACCGACAGCAACAAAAAGAATTGGCGTGAAGGCAAGGGCCAGTGAAGAGATGCTCAGCCAGCACTTAGTGCTCTCGAACTCGCGACTCACTAACTGGAAATACGCCTAAACCAATCACTTTTCCGCCACTAAACTCATGAACCCACAAGTGAAAGACCAACGAAGGATGCAATGCAATAGCCAGATAGGGATGGTGTTCTTATTGTTCATTTCCAATGTATCGAGATTTAGAAGCCACCCAGCTGAGTGATCGGAAAGTTGTGACGCCGTACAACGCAGAGATTGGTCAAACCGCGTCTGAGACTGCGTACCTCACTCTTCGAGTGCAGCGTGGTTTGGAACCCACTGGACTTCGGAACTCCCGGTGGTGTTTCTGCAAATGTTGAGCTCGGCCATTGGGGTGGATCATCATTTTATATTAGATCGATATGAATATGAACAACAAGTTCTTCTTGAAGGATTTCCAGGGGATAATACTGTATCACCGTGTGTTGAATCAGATCGAAAATCCAGTATCGACTTATACTCTCAGCAACCCCCATTTGTCGCCCTAGGGGAGGGGGCGGATATCTTAGACATCATAGAATACCATTCACACGGCAGGAACAACAAAGGGCTGACAACACCCCCTTTTGAGATTCCTGCGGTTGGTGTTCCTAAAGTTGAGGATACTCTTTTATTACTGCATCCAATTTTATTCAACTTTTTGTGCGGATATCCTATGGACCGACATTTCGCTGAGATTGAAACTTATTCTGTCCGTGTGCACTGGAGGCTTAGAACACAATTTGTTGTAACTTTTCAAATCCAGTGCCGTCTGTATCCCGGCCCCCTTCTTTTGAAGTATGCATCGATGCATGAACCACGAAGTGGAGCTCTTGACTAATTGACGGCCGCTAGGAAGTGGCATTGGGTAGAGGCCACACAGCGTAAATAAGGTGCTGACGCGCTTGCTGATAGCTTAGCTAATAGGCTATTGGTGGCGAAACAGATGCAATCTTTTTTGGGATTGTTCCGGAAAAAGTCATAATGTAGTTCCATGCATTTTATGATGCATGAGGAGTTTGAAAGCTGCGGATACTGAAAGGTGGGATTAAATGAACTGAATAAGACAACCGATGAGTGCTGTAGTGGCCAACAAACCAAGACCACCATATGCTTCTAGGATTTTAGGCGATGAGCATACTTTATGTTGCGGCAGTTAGTCGCAGTGATCCAAACAACGTCAACCGGAAATAATCGACTGGTCTCATACGCGTGCACATTCGGCCAGAAGAGGAGGAGGGCAACCTCCGCCTGCTGCATCTCTAATCTTATGGACGTAATACATTTCAGTGTGTGCAGCTAAACTGCATCGTATTATGCTTTTTTGGAGGTCATGTGCACTGACCTGACGATCGAAATTATTAAGCTTGCCCGGTTATCGCCTTCGTTTCAGTCAGTTGTTACCTGCGGCATAGGTTTGGAATAATATATATCGTTCTTTTTTCTGCGGACAAGAAGGGGCCGGTGGCACAGACATTGTGCAGGTGTGTTCAAACTTATCATGTGGAATACAGTTACGACGAAGACATATATCGTGAACGGATGATTTGCAGAAATAACATTCAAATGGACAACTTACCCCAATATGCCAGTCATTTCGTCTTCCTTTCATTGCTTCGAAATAAGACTGTAGGGGGGGGGGCTTTAACAAGCGAATGAACAGATGCGGTCGTGGAGATTCTAATTGACCACCATATTAGCTGAAGCATGTTGATAAGTCTTTCGCCTAGGATATCTCTTCGATGTTGGTACTTCGGAACAAATATTCTATCTATTCTCTACTCTGTTCTTTCTAATTTAAACCTCGGCACTGCGTACCTGCATTCTTATTTCATAACCTGGGGACTTGACAAAAGCATCTAACCGTTGGCTTCAAGTGTGATCTCTTTCACATGGGTCGTTTCTGTTTTAGATCACGAGTACCACCAGCTGATGTAAGTGTTTTCGTGTCACGTATTCACTCACGTAAATCAAAATCTCCGCTGTAAAACTGTAGTGTGAGATGAGCATAAGCATAATGGGAAAGATTTATTTCAGTGTATAACTGCGAATAGGTCCTAGAAAGTTTGAAGTGTCCATTTCACATCTCTGTTATTCGAGTGTTGACCATCCCTGTCTCTGAAGTAAATTATAAACTGCATTAGTAGGGGCTAACAACCAATTCGAAAAGTAACCTTGCATTGAGTTATTAACATATATCGCACCATGGTATTTTGTTTGCTTGCATGAGCGTGTAATGATTTCGGTTGACACACAACTCACCCCGTTGAATGCTGTTCTATTTACAACTAATTATGAAAAATGCATTTACTATGACACCGATAAGAACAAATAAGAAAGCGGAATGAATAAACATAATAAAAGCAACACAATTTAAAGTAATATTCCAACTTAATAGAGTTGCTTGAAATCAGGAAGTGTCTATGGCCATTCCCCAGGGATTAAATTGCATTTACCGTTTATAGACCGAATGCTTATGAGCATCTCAGCCTCAGATTTCTGAAATTTACGTATTTTACTGACATTATACAGCCAGAAACGGAAAAATACGTAACTCAACCGTTTTCGCACGGACAGCTGCTTATTATCCTTCACTTTTGAAATTTTCAAATTTTTCAGCACCTCTCTCCAGATTTAAGAAACATCTGTGCTTTCAAATAAGCAATGCACTCATTATTATAACCAAACGAAATCAGCTGGTCGTGCTTGCAATTAGCCGATTATGGCCCTTATCAAATCATCTACAAATTACTGAGGGATATTGCGAAGACAGAGGTCACTGAAAACCTCATTTAAAGACGGACCTCGTGCCTTTAATAAGGCTTTGACAGTCCCTTACAAGAGAAAGGAAAGCGGGGTACTTGTACTGATTCCAATATCCAAAACCAATATTGAATATTGGTTATTTGGCCTTGATACCATGGAAGCAAAACTACCGCTGTATTGAAGTTTTATAAAATGTCTGTAAATGGATTAATTGTTGAAAGCAACAAGACAGCGAAGTTCGAGGACTATTATGAACTAAGCAAAAGCTTAGGAAGGTAACTTCTTCACTGACTCACATATGAATGTTTTCAGGAAGCCTCTGCAATCACAGTATGCTGTTGGTCCTTTCATACATTTGAAATCTTTTTTTAATGATAATTAAAAATTTCACAGAGGTAGTGGTTCATATGTTGCCGTTTGCATTGAACGTGGCACAAACACTTGCTATGCCTCGAAAGTGATGCAGAAAAAGGTTTTAAATGTGGAATATTTATGATAATAATTTCAATGGAATATAGATGACTTCCGCTGAAAAGAAGAACAGTATTGGACACCTTTTAAAAGTTGACCACAAAAATCTAGTAGGTGATATAGAAGCAGTAAAAGTATGTTATAGGTGAGATTAAAAGAAGTTTTTGAAACTCCACTTTCATTGTATTTGATCACTGAACTGGCTTATGGAGGGGAACTTTTCCAAAGGTAAGCTTCACCATTTAGTGCAACACTTCACAAAATGCATTCAGAATGTATTGAGGTTTTCCGCATGTTAACTAGTATGCTCTTATCGCATGACCGTTTAAAGCTTATGATTTTTTCGTACAGCCTTCCTTTCGACTAACGATTCATGGTATTCCAAGTTTGAAATCTAGCTCACTAGCTCTAGTTACTTTTAAATTTAGGCTTTTGTGAATTTAATATACTTCAGTATGGTCTCGATTTCGCAAGAATTCGCTCTTTCATTTCAGAATGGAGAGCGTAACATTAGACATAAATTATCATCATCGACGGCGAAATCCAAATCTTTTTCCAGACTTTTTTCATCGGTCGAGCCAGCGTATGCCCATCTTCTCGCTCCTTGTGGTTTGTTGTATGATCCGGTTCATCATAATCACGAAGATCATGGGTGATAGTAGGCAGCCTTGTCTTACTCCTGTCTTCACTTCAAAAGGCATCACTGAGCTTCCCATTGTGGATCACCTGGCATGTGGCATCGTCATATAGCTGTTGAATGAGGTTGATAAAGATTTGTGGCACTCCGTAGTGTTGAAGCAACTGCCAAATTACTTGTCGGTCAACGCTGTCAAAGGCCTTCTCAAAGTCGATAAAGTTGAGGTAGAGTTGAGTTGACTGCCATTCTTTGCTCTGTTCTATGATGATGCGTAGCGTAGTGTTGCAATTTGATCCGCACATGATTTGTACTTGCTGAATCCAGACAGCCTGTTTCGGTCGTAGTTTTGAATCCAGCGCATGCCTTATTCACTCCAGGATGATGTGGCTTAATGCTTTGCTTGGGTTGGACAGCAGCATGATTCTGCGCCAGATCTTGTACAGACTCAGTTCTCCCTTCTTTGGGAGTTTGACAAGGTTGCCGTTCTTCCAATCGATTGATGGGTACCATTACTTCCTTCCTTGCAAACCTACAGTAGTGATGTGAGCATGTCCGCTGTTGTTGTCTCTGCTTCTGTTTTCAGTGCTTCTGGTGGAATTCCATCTGGTCCTGCTGCTTTGCCGATTTTCTGTAGTTTTATGGCATTCAGGACTTCTGCTATTGTCGGAGGGCCTGTGTTCACTGGTGATTCTGTAGCTGAGCTGCTGGTGGTATTTCTGGACGAGTTGCAGGTGGTGATGATGGTCGGTTCAACAGCTTTCTGAAGTGGTCAGCCTATCGTTTCCTTTGTTTCTCCTTTTTGATAACTAGATTTCCTTCACTATCTTTCATTGGTTTCGTCTGCGTTGATCTCTTCCCAGATAGTAATCTGGTTATTTGATACAATGTTATATTACCAGGACTAGTGTCACAACCTTTTCATTTTCACTATATTTGATACAATGTTGTCAGGTCTATCCTACCAGCAGCCTGTTCTGCTTCACTTGCCAGTGTTTCGTAGAAGTGTCTTTTGTCTTTGCGTGCACTCTTCTTCACTTCTTTGCCTATTGTAGTGTTTTATACTTTGTACTCAGTTCTTCTTTTTGCTGTGCATCCTTGCACTGGTTCATCTTCTGCTTCTTCTTCCTTCCTAATACGATTATGCAGGGTTTCCTTCCACATTTCTTTTCCAGAGAGTTCCAGTGTTCTTCCACACAAGTTCTTTCAGGGATGTTGCTCAATGTCTCGTATTTTGTCCTCATGACTGACATGAAGATATCCTTTGAAGTGTCGTCCTTCAGTTTCTGTTTTGGGTGTTGGACTTGAACTGTGGTCTATCACCAACTTCCTTGAAGGCTTTCAACTTGATTTGAAGCTAAGAACCTTGCACTAGATAGTGAGTGGTCTAAACCTACATCTGCTCTCCTTCTTCATCTGATCTTGTGTTCAGTAGGCTGGCTGCGGCTCCACTTTCTTGAGATTGAGATGAAGTCGATCTGATTTGTAGTATGCCCTGGTGTCTGGTGAAATCCATGTGGCTTTGTGGTTATCCTTGTGCTTGTACGCACTGCCTCCAACCACCAAAAAGTTGAATGAGCAGACATCTACAAACAGTTCTCCATTCTCATTCATTTCACCGAGTGCTTCTCGACCCATGATGAGTTTTCTTCCTGTGTTGTCCGTTCCGAGTTTGGCATTCATGTCGCCCATTCGAATTTTGATGTCGCCAACTGGAGTGGGGTTTTGTCCAGTGCTGATTGCAGTTGTCTGTAGAATTCCTCCTTCTTCTTTTGATCTACATGATTTGTAGGTGCATAGCGTAGCATTGTATGATTGTAACTTCCCTTCCTTTTGAATCTTGCTTTCCTGGTCCTGGAGGAGACTGGTTCCCACTGCATGAGAGCCTTCTATGTTTTTGAAGACACCATGATAGCCACGCCATAGCTCAGTATGCTCGTGGTTGACGTCTGGGTGACAATATCGGAGTAGATTATTTATTCTCCAGTTGACAGTTTGGAGAGTCCACTTCCATTCCATCTCCTTTTGCAGATTCCTAGCACTTCTATGGAATACCTCCTCATCTGTTTTGCAATCTGGCAGCCTTGATAGGTTCATACATGGTGCGGACATTCCATTTTTACCTTCGCTTTCATCGAGAGAAGACACATCTACCGACTGGCTTCCTGAAGGTTTTCACCAACCGGCGTCACTTCGCCTCTCCGATTCCAGTAAGGAATAAGTTTGTTTTTATTTTTATAAATTCTTTGTGCTTTGAAGTTTCTTTAGCGACTGGATTGGTTTTACGTGGCAGGGTTGCTATCCCTATGCTCAATCTTCCCTGTTTATCCGGGCTTAGGACCGGCTAGTAACTAGTGAAATAGTTAACCGGGCGAGGTTAAGGCAAACAGTTACAGTTCTTTTTCTATGATGGAAAAGCACCTTCCCAGGAGACATACCGAAGCCTAAGTAGTCATTTCTGCAGTCTCCAGGGTGGCCCTTAAAGTCACCTGAATTACCTGCCTGGCATTCTGAAAACTCAGCTGCGAGACTCAGTTGCTGACTACTAATTCTCTTTGATTCAATCACTGAAGGTTGTTAGAGTACCAATTCTATTGATTCATTAGGTTTATCACTGTGCAACACTATTGTCATTTACTAAGTTACATTCTCGACATAATTTATTGTCTGTGGTCTTATCAAGGAAACTACACAACTTTGAGATATCCTTCATATACAGTTATTATTTCCTTGCATCTTTGTGATATGTGTAGTAAGATTTCCTATATAACCAGAACAGTTACTGAGTCATCCCTGTTGCATGTTTTAGATTCAGTTATCAATCCCTCCCTTCACACTATTTTATTGGTTTTAAGGGTTTTCACCCTGTCCCCTCCTATTGTGTAGATATGTGTAATTACATGCATGGCTGTGACTGAGCGATTTTTAAATTCCTTATCTCACTAGGATCTACCAATTATGATGTAGCTGGGCTTTTGTGCTGGGACAGCCTAATTGATCGCGATCGACTTCATTGACCTATGTATTTGACCTCTCAGTCGTTGTAAGGGATTTTTTTAAAACTGATAACTTAATCTTTATTTATCGGATCAACACGTAATGCATGCAAAAGGAATGACTCATCACCTGTTCCGGATATATGGAAAATCTTACTACCCACATTATAAAGGGGGCAAGGAAATTAAGACTGTATATGAAAGATGTCTCAAGGCTGTGTAGTTATCTTGATATAACTATAACAGCATAAATTATTTTGGGAATGTAATCCAGTAAATGACGATAGTGTTGCACTGTGTGATAAATCTAACAAATCGATAAAAGTAGAATTGCATTCTATCACAGTGCACAAGCTAGAGTACCAGGTCGAAAATTCCTTTCGCGAATCAGATTTTTATTTTTTCTTGTCAATAATGGTTGTCTGGTGAACCACGTTTACCTTATATAGTGTTACTGATAGTTCTAAATTTGTTGAATTAAACAGCAACATGAACCAGCTGAAGAAGGAACTGGGTAGCAGATGTATTCTGGGCTATATATTTAACTATTTTTATGGAATATCTAAAATGGAACACTTTGCACATCTGTAAGTTCTTAAGATAACAGTACTAGCAGTATGCTTCTTAAAACCAGATAGCTGCATAATGACAATACATATGTGCAGCACGTTGAGTTCTGTAAGTGTAAGCATTACAGATCTTGAGGAATCTGTTTACCTAGAAGCAATGTCAGCCAGATAAAGTGAAGTCTAGGTGTTATGTGGGTAAAGTCCATTGACAAGAATACTTGTCATATGTAGCAAGACATATCTACAAACTTGATGGAATTGATGTCTTGTAAGAGATCTGAACTCTCACCATCCAGCGCTCTAGTCAAAGGTCTTACCAATGAGCTATTTGTCTACTCTGCAGTAACCAATCGCTGTAGAAACCCCCAATGTTAAGTAACTTAATGTTGTCAATGTAATATAACTCTAAATGTAAGTAAAGTTCACATCAGATTAGGTAATGGGATTGAAAACGCTGCTCATAACTTCAAACTTTTACATTTACTATCCCTAAAAAATAACTAAATGCTTATCGAAATGAAAAGCTGTCAGTTAGTTGGCTGAGGGATTAAATGTATTGAAGACCGTTAACACGAAAGAACAGTCGATTACAGACAAAAATGACTGAGGTAACAAGAATTTTTAATTGTAGATCAGATCGGCACTAGCTAATTACGAATGAATAACGAGGTCAGAAAACAGTCAATAAATTCTTACCAATAATCATAAAGAAGTTATTATTTCTGCTGTGACATCTATTTACTCCACAAACCTGGCCAACAGTACTTGTTCCTTATTAGTCTGTTGGAAACAATCAACAAGAAGCCCTTTCTTGTCGGCACTCACCAGAAAGGCGTATATACAACTTTGAAGGAACTGACGTCATGTGGTTTTGAAGTCATTAGTTAACACTATGTTTGACTTGAGCAATGTATGGTTCATATATTGAATTGTTAAGGGATTTTGTGTGTCTGTTAGTATGAGAATACAAAAACGTAGGCTCACATAGTCTCGTTCGCCTTCTCTTTCTACCTCTAAATGTGTGAGTGT